CAGTAATTTTAGTTTCTTACCAGGACCAGGAGCCTGTGTTGGGGAGCAGTGCTAATACAAGTCCCACAACTTACTCCACTTCCAGGAACTGTCTCATTGCGTCAGATTTCCAAACTCCAAATACTTTTACATTAAGTTGACACTCATTACTAAGGATCGTAAAAATTAATTCTTACAGTGCAATTTCCATGCTAGTGTGGTCACCGTCTTGACGCAGGGTTAATATGCTCTCTTATACTGTATGTTACGTCTGAAGTGAGGGAATAGATTCAAAGCAACTGAAAATCCCGGTCTGACATGGATACTGTTCAAACGCAATACGCAGTTAGCGTGGCGTGGACGAGTTTTGTTCCGGTAAAATACCTAACAATCATCAGTTGTCACGCGCTAGGACCGGATACGTCTCATTATTTAATATGAATTTTTGTGTATTTTGCAATGTCTACTGTTAATTCCTCTCCTGCTGCTTCTCGTTTCCATACCATCACCATTTTCTCTCCTCACGGCCGCAACGCACCACCCGCTCTGTAACATAATGCAGGAACCAGAGGACCATAAACCTTAAGTAACACTAGGAAGCTCTGTACGCGGCGCCTCGCTACCTACACCTTTGTCAGCTAATATGTGGCGTCTGACTTTACCACTACACTACACACTCTGTCTCCTCCAGGGAAAGAAACTGTATAAAATATCTGATATATAATTCTTTTTATTTCACACTGCAAACAATAGCTTTTATATCAACAGTTATTAATACAACCAGCATAGAGTAATATTAAGTTTATTAAATATTATGTTCTGTGACATGTACTAGTATATACTGTAGAATCCATTTGCTAAACAACAGTACATATAACGTTCATTTAGTGTTAAATTTGTGAAATATAAAGGTCTTGCTCAGTACCACTCATAGCCCGAGACAGCGCCCACTCTACCCTCGCCCGCCCACCAGCCTGTGACAGTCGCTACAGGTGAGACCCGAGCACAACAATGCCTAATTAAAGTACTCCAGGTGACTGCCAGTCTACCTCTTCCCCGCCTGGTGACGTGTCGGTGCCACACACTGTACTATTACTACTTTAATTATTTACTGCTGGGCAGGGAGGTTAACATAATAAATAAACACGTACATATATAACTAAATAATTATCTTGTCTATATTTACCAATGATGTTCTCTGTACAGTACCAATAAGAAAATATATTTAAGGTCAACAAAATTATTACGTCAGACCTGACATATCATCAACAACTGCTACGGTAAAAGTTATGACTGATGTAATGTGAACGACCCAATTAGTTTAATTATAATTGGGATACATTAATTATTGCCACATATCTCACACTGTGAAATTTTAACCATTTGTGTGTGTGTGTGGGGGGGGGAGTGCTCACTTATGTACAGACATCTGCAGGTGTCAGTAGGTGGTGGTAGGCCCTGGTAACCAAAGTGTTACTCAGCAACACCAAGTCTTCCACACGTTTACTCGTGTTTTCTCTACTTACTGCCCTAACCAGCGTCTTCACCACCCTCGCTTGTGTGGCGAGGGATGAGAACGTATCTTAGGTGAATTTAACTGTTATTACTGGACCATCTTGTACTTTATAACCGAAACTTCAGTAATATAAATGGCCAATTCTCAGTAGTAACCCACGTTCAATCTCACCACTTTACTGCATTATGTTTTCATTAAAGTGTTATTAGGAACTACCGAGCGCCATAGGTGAGGGACCAGTCAGGTCTGGAAGGGACTCCAAACGTCGGATAAATTATTTGTTTTTCTGGTTATCGAGTTAATTTCGATTTTTCATATATCTACTTATTCCTGAATTTGTGTGAACATATTCTTACCCAATATACGACATAAATTCAATTATAACAAATCACATGCAGGGGCGGATCCAGGATTCTCAAAAGGGGGATCCAAGATGTGGGTGGGGAACATGGCTAGCAGAGCGAACCCAACCCCGCTGAAAGGTTGTGGAGTGTGCTGTAGGCCCCCCCCCCTCCCCCGATTTATTTATTTTAATCTGACCATTATTATGGGCATTTTGGGGCCATTGTGAAGCTATGTGCACTTGATATTAAGAGATATTCTGAGGTCAATAGTAATTACTTTTTACTATACAAATATATCTGAGAACAATACTGCATTAAATAAAACTAATGTACTTTTGTTGTAAAAAGGGGGGTCCAGACCCTCAGGACACCCCCCTGGATCTGCCCCTGACATGATATATCGTTTGTAGTTTATGATGGAAATCCTTGTTAATTCGACATATAACGCAAACTCTGGAGTCTACGACGAACTACAATCTATAATTAATGACGCAAACACACAACACGTGGCAGGCCCCCAGGTGTATATTCGCGCGCACGTGAACCACACACCGCTGGACAGTGAGGTGTGCTGGGATGTGACGTCACGAGAGATTTACTTAAACACGGAGAGGAAAACAACAGAACTGTAAGTCGGAAGGTAGATAACCTCGCCCTCCACCCATAACAAAAAGTGTAGCACAATGTAGATATTTCTCTTTACTGAAGGTGGTCATGAAGCTTTACTGATCTGTCCCAAGGTGATATACTACACTACTGAAGTGTCATCATGATCGGTGAATGAATGATGGTTTAGCTCTACTTGCTGACTTGGACGTGTAATTCTATCTCTTGTGATATTCGACTCCAAATTAAGAGAGATCTTTCTTTACCCATAGTGTTAGAAGTAATTAAATTTAATGATGATTAAGGTATGGAATGTGGAGTTGCTGTGCGGAAATGACTCCCCCCCCCCCTGTGTGTGTGTGTGTGTGTGTTTTTATAACCACGAGAACAATCATTTCACAATTATTTAATGAGGTTAGCTACATGACATAGGGCACCATTCTCACCACCACAGACGTGACAACTAACACTATCACCATCATCATCAACTCGGTAACAATCCCACCACAACCATTTACAACACTGAAGACGCTGATGGCAATACGTCACGGTCACCATAACGAACCACAACACCACGGAAGTTATAACACAGCCGATACAACCATCACTCTTGTAACACCCCACACACACACACACACCAGTCACCATAAGAACAACATCCCCATAAGAACAACATCCCCATAAACATCCACAACACCAGGATGCTGACACTCAGAGCCACCACTAGACCTGGGCCACCCAACAGCTGTCTGTCTCTGGTAGTATCGATCCTGTGTGTGTGTGTGTGTCCTGCACCCACCACACAGTAAAGTCAAGGACACACACCACTCAACAAGTTCATCCCCCCCCCACCACCCCTCACACACACACCTGACGTAACTCCCCGGAAAAAGAAAAATAAGAACTTGTACAAACATGTCTATAATGACGCCACTACAGGTTCCGAGTGGCGCTGGAAAGTTGTTTCACCATTAATACTACTGGTTAAGATCTGAACTAAAAATTCTGAAATAATTATGATTCCACAGATGGCTATGTTTGTGCTGGATGAGGAACCACGATTGAATACCTTTACGATCTTGTATATATACTGTTTTCGTTCGCCCGCACCCCTCCTCAATGAATAAAAAGTGTGTTCCCGAGTGTGTGTTTACATCAAACAGAAAAAAACAAAAAAAACAATCAGAACACTAAACAGGTATTGTCGAGCATTAACCACACTAACTTGGGTACAAAATACTAATGATCATCACACGACTTCAAATACTAATAATAAGTTAGCAGGTGTCAGGTGGAGTGGACGCTAGCTTTTAGTGCGTGTGTGTGTGCCCACCTTGTCTCTAACACTATTATCCAATATCACTCGCCTCAAAATTTGGTCCCCCAGTATCGTTAAATTACATTCTCTTTCCCCTTTTAATTCTATCAATCCACCTCACATTTAATCTGCCTCCTAAGAAGCCCACATTATATAATTAAGGTATTTATCACAGTCCCAATAACACACTCGGTATCACAGGTTTAAGTTATGAAAACCTTCAAGTACCATAAGAATGATCATCTACTTGGCCGAGTGTTCAAACCAGCAAGAAATATCTCAGACTACACCTTAGTTTTATTTATGGTATCGTTCGTGTCTGAGCCACGTCAGCTCCACATTTAGCTTGGCCTTTCACTACCGCCAAAACAATCTGTCCACAGTTGTGATGATGGTGGCCGAGCCTCCCGCCCTTTAACGATGAATTTACAGTGAACCCGACGTTGGCTGTCAGTGGCTCGTCTCGACAGTGATATACAGTGATTTAGCGTGTCTGACTGGTGGATGTTCGGCACCATTCCCTGTACATTTGGCAATTTGACCTCTGCGTTCCTATGCATATGTCCTTTGATCCTTAGCCCTACCAGCTCTCAGCCCACACCTGACCCACAGCATACATTTACGTCTGACCTTGTTAGTTACCCCTTCATCGCCCTCATTATCTGCCTCATCCTGTGTTCCCACACTTAATACACGACTATTGCCTTCCCCTCAGTGATGACCTTCCCCTCGGTGATGACCTTCCCCTCAGTGATGACCTTCCTCTCGGTGATGACCTTCCCCTCAGTGATGACCTTCCTCTCGGTGATGACCTTCCCCTCGGTGATGACCTTCCCCTTAGTCACTGGGGTCCTACACTTACCTCCTGTTGAAATGTTTCAAAACAATGAGACCAATACGTATTAAAGTCACGATCCCAGAACACCCGAGTTTAGTCACACCTTACATAAAATCACTCTTACTGTTGAAATGAATCCACATAAATTGGATATTACACTCAACACACACCCACTACACATTCACTATTTCATTTCTCATCACATAGTTTTCCTTAAAGATTGAAATCTTGAGTGAGTTTACCTATAGAAGGAGGATCAGTTCTTGATTAAATTCCGTAGAAAAGACGAGTTCTGATACACTTTGGTCATGAAGGATGAGCTCTTGATACACTTTGGTCATGAAGGATGAGCTTGTGAAGAGTATGAGGCGTGAATAAACAAGACTTTTACTGACTTACCTTCAACTTCAGCCATGGTGTCGAGTTGTGTGAGGGACGGCCGCCGCTCCCGCACGCCAACGATCACGCTCCCTGGGAAGGACAACAATGATTACTTGACAATAATCCTCGTACACAGTTTGGAAACTGCTGATGTATATGGTGCTTCAACATCTTGGGTCGTTAATCACGTAGTTTCTATAGTAGACAACAGCTTGTATAAATTAAGGTATATACGCTTCATAATATTCAGTAACTCACCTGCAGGATGATAAGTAAATACTAAAGATAAGGTAAGATACAAGATTAATTGTAGAACTAGAAATAATTTAAAGACTTAAATATATAATATTCAGATTAATATAAAATATACAATACACAAAGTAATCTTCAAATAACAATATACATAATAATGTTATTACGTTAACACAATATATATGTCTATGTTATGAAGTGTTCAAAATAAAGGAAAAGAAAAATACAGCGGTGGTGTTAGAGATGAGCATCACCAGCAGACACACACACACACACACACACACACACACACACACACACACACACACACACACACACACACACACACACACACACACACACACACACACGTCATTACTTGAACATAAGATACATTCAATAAAAATATCGTCCATAGGGCGCCCCCCATCCGCGTGCGTGCGTGTGTGTGTGTGTTTCATCGCCTCAATATATATATATGAACTGAAAACCACAATTCTGCATTCTTCATCCCATTGTTTTACAGTTGATCGATATGTTCCGTCCCAATGAAGAAGATCTAAGAATAAACAAGTTACACCATCAGACTTATGAGACGGATGATGCCTTCTTGTGTTATATAACTGGTATTCATCGAGTTAATGAAGGAGGCTGATTTTTATTTTATTTTTAACATAAGATTCTCTCCCACCGTCAGATGAGTCTATAGGCGGTGTGAGCCCACAGGTCAAGACTCCCCTGCTATAACCTTAATATTTATCGGCCTTTGTGTCCTATACCTGGAGTTATTTTTCTTATATCTTCCCCCCCCCCCCTATATATACCGTAGTTGATATAATCTCATATGTACAGTATATAGTTTCATTTCATGTTTATCCCTCTGACAATAACGTGTGGGGGAGGGGGGGTGTCAGTTACAAGACAGGAGTGTTAGTTACAAGACTAGCGAGGTCATTCTAAAATTATATCTTGCGCTTGTGAGACCTCACTTGGATTACGCAGTTCAATTCTGGTCACCGTATTACAGAATGGACATAGAATCCCTAGAAAGAATTCATTGGAGAATGACAAGACTAATCCCGGGCATTAGGAACCTTGAGTACAGAGACATGTTAAAGCATCTTAATTTGCAACAAAGGTTGCAACCAGAAGCGAACTCGTACCAGTGGTTTTAAGTTAGACAAATTTAGATTTAGGCGCGAGATAGGTAAACATTGGTTTGGAAATAGAGCAGTGGACGACTGGAACAAGTTACCAAACATCATTATTAACTCGAATACGCTGGATAGCTTCAAACATAGGCTGGATGGATATATGAGTGATAAGGGTTGGGTGTAAACGGGACTGCCCGGTATGGGCCAATAGGCCCACTGCAGTTTCCTCCCATTCTTATGTTCTTTTGCGTATGTGTGTGTGTGTGTGTGTGTGTGTGTGTGTGTGTGTGGGGGAGTGCATGTGTGTGGGGGAGTGTATGTGTGTGGGGAGTGCATGTGTGTGTCTGAGGGAGTGTGTGTGTGTGGGGGTGCATGTGTGTGGGAAAGTGCATGTGTGTGGGGGAGGTATGTGTGTGTGGGGGGGTGTGTGTGTGTGGGGGGAGGTGTGTGTGTGTGTGGGGGAGTGCATGTGTGTGTGGGGGGGTGTGTGTGTGTGTGTGTGGGGGAGTGCATGTGTGTGTGTGGGGGAGTGTGTGTGTGTGTGTGGGGAGGTGTGTGTGTGTGTGTGTGTGTGTGGGGAGTGCATGTGTGTGTGGGGGGGTGCATGTGTCTGTGTGGGGGAGTGCATGTGTGTGTGTGGGGGTGCATGTGTGTGTGGGGAGTGCATGTGTGTGTGGGGGGGGTGCATGTGTGTGTGGGGGAGTGCATGTGTGTGTGGGGGAGTGTGTGTGTGGGGGGGGCATGTGTGTGTGGGGAGTGTGTGTGTGTGTGGGGGGTGATGTGTATGTGTGTGGGGGTGCATGTGTGTGTGGGGTGTGTGGGGAGTGTGTGGGGAGTGTGTGTGTGTGGTGTGTGTGGGGGGTGTGTGTGGGGTGTGTGTGTGTGTGGGGTGTGTGGGGGAGGTGTGTGTGGGGAGTGGGGGGGTGTGGGGGAGTGCATGTGTGTGTGGGGAGTTGCATGTGTGTGGGGAGTTGCATGTGTGTGTGGGGGTGTGTGTGGGGGTGTGTGTGTGGGGGAGTGTGTGTGTGTGGGGGGTGATGTGTGTGGGGGTTTGTGTGTGTGTGGGGAGTATGTGTGTGTGGGGGGTGTGTGTGTGGGGCATGTGTGTGTGTGTGTGTGTGTGTGTGGGGGAGTGCATGTGTGTGTGGGGGAGTGCATGTGTGTGTGTGGGGGAGTGCATGTGTGGGGGGTGTGTGTGTGGGGGGTGTGTGTGTGTGTGTGTGTGGGGGAGTGCATGTGTGTGTGTGTGGGGAGTGCATGTGTGTGTGTGTGTGTGGGGGAGTGTGTGTGTGGTGTGTGTGTGTGTGTGTGTGGGGGAGTGGTGTGTGTGTGTGGGGGGTGATGTGTGTGTGGGGGAGTGTATGTGTGTGGGGTGGTATGTGTGTGTGGGGGTGTGTGTGTGTGTGGGGGTGCATGTGTGTGTGGGGGAGTGCATGTGTGTGTGGGGGGTGCAGTGTGTGTGTGGGGGAGTGTATGTGTGTGGGGGTGCATGTGTGTGGGGAGTGCATGTGTGTGTGGGGGGTGTGTGTGTGTGGGGAGGTGTGTGGGGGTGTGTGTGTGGGGGGTGTATGTGTGTGTGTGTGTGTGTGTGTGTGTGTGTGTGTGTGAGTGTATGTGCGTGTGGGGGAGCGATGTGGGGGGTGCATTGTGTGTGGGGAGACATGTGTGGGGACATGTGTGTGGGGAGTGCATGTGTGTGTGTGGGGAGTGTGTGTGGGGAGTGCATGTGTGTGTGGGGGAGTGTGTGTGGGGAGTGTAGGTGGGGGAGGTATGTGGGGGAGTATGTGTGTGGGGACATGTGTGTGTGGGGGGAGTGTATGTGTGTGGGGAGGTATGTGTGTGTGTGTGTGTGGTGTGTGTGAGTGGTGTGGGGAGTGTATATGTGTGTATCTGTATGTGTACAGGTATGTGTGTGGGCATGTTCGCGTGTGTGCGGTGTGTGTGTGGTGTCTTGTGGTCAATTGTTATAACGGGAAAACATAAGAGGTTAAGGTGTCGTGAGTTTTATGGACCCGCCCGTAAAAACAACAGAGGCGGCGACACTCCCACTGTGAGACCATCAATTGTAACCATTCAACCACACCAAACGTTACCTACTATTCACTCCACGGAGAACCACGACGCCTATACTACACGTCACATCAAAAACAGACTCGTACCATACATGTCCACAACCTAACTATAATACTTTGACTTAACCACGATGGATTAATGGGACTACATAACATCCATCCCAACTTGTTTCACCTAAAGATTAACCACCCTAACAATAAAGAGGACGAGAGGTTAGGTTAAGTTAGGTTAGGTTAATCTTAAGGTTAAAATAAACTAGGATGGAGATTGTTCAGGTGACCCAAGGCGCCTTAGAGATTTACCACGACGTCAAGAACTAATACACAATTCACTTGTTTATCGCTGAACAATCTATATTATTGTCTTCAGTCTCTCCCCCCCCCCCTCATCCCACAAATGTTCTGGGAGGAGGAGGAGGAGATTACAATATTTCTACAACTTTCAGCTATTAGTTATTAAAATAACCCATAAAAATAAAATCGCACATAACACTAACCAATTAATACAATTCTTACAGGCCATTCGATAATACATCCCCCCCCCCCACCCCCCGGCGCTCACCAAAGGAAATGTCTGTGGTGACTTCCTCGTATAAGACCCTTCAATACACAGCACTGTCATTACCATAGTCGTCTGTAGTGTAATGATCTTTGTAATACACTTAAGTTTATTCTACTCTGGGAATCGATTGGCATATAAACCTAATTCTGGTAAATAAACAGCCTATTATTATTATTATTAACATCATATACGACTAACTTAAATACCAAGTGAATACCAAACAATGCAACTGTGGTATCTATCTACGGAGGCAGAGGTGGGAATAACGACGCAAAATCAAAGAAGTCTGTGTGTGTGTGTGTGTGTGTGTGTGTGTGTGTAGAAACAGTAGTGAACAGCGGCCAGGTACTATCCCTAACCACGGACAGGTACTACTGTATACCACCTAACCACGGCTAGGTACTATCCCTAACCACGGACAGGTACTACTGTATACCACCTAACCACGGCTAGGTACTATCCCTAACCACGGCCAGGTACTACTGTATACCACCTAACCACGGCCAGGTACTATCCCTAACCACGGCCAGGTACTACTGTATACCACCTAACCACGGCCAGGTACTATCCCTAACCACGGCCAGGTACTACTGTATACCACCTAACCACGGCCACGCTCCACTTCCGGCAATTCCAATTAAGTGATCAATATTTACAACTCGGAGGGGTAACTACGGAGCCCTCCCTTCCATCCACTGTCCCAGGACGCTGTAATTAATACCCCGCGGTGACTGTGTTTGCTGGGCTACTGCTTAGGCGGAATAGTCACAAGATGGAGAGCATGATAGTCAACTACAGAACGAATGAAGTGAAGATAGAAAGCACGAGCATAGGTGATGTTAATTCCATAGCCCTTGCCAACAAGGGTTCTGAGGGGTTTAATGCGCTGCATTAATTTGTCACGAAGGTTGCTGACAAAGTTTCCATCATTCACACAAATTCCAAGATATTTATAGGAACTACATAGTTCCAAGGGCATGCTGTTGATGTTATAGTCAAGAGGCAGAGGGTGAGCAGGACGAGGATTGAGGACCCTTGTCTTGTCAACAGATATTATGAGACCGCATTCAA